CTTCCTTAAGCAGACACAGTTAAAGAAGGAACGAAGGCCGCTGCCCCTCTGTTGCTTCTCTGTTTGTCCCTTCACACACCAATTCTTGCTTCTGATGCCGACAGAAGAGAAACTGTTAATTTAATTCTCTCAGCCCTGGCCCCGGATTAAACAAAGCTACAGGGAGGAACTGTGGCTCCCCGGAGTGGGAACCTGCCATGCCTTCCAGCCTCTAGAAAGCATCTCAGATTGGGCAACCCCAGGACTCATATCCTTCTTGCGCTGCTCCAGCTAGCCTTGCCACCTTTCTGTTTTCTCCCATGTAAACCTCTCCTTCTGTTCTAAGTCACCTGCTCATGATGATGGAGCTTTCAGACTCAAGAGCAACAAACAACACAGGCACCCTGACTTGGGCCTGGAGCTTAGGCAATAACTCGGGCGCAGTCTTAGAAACATGAGGTGATTGGGTGTTTATCAATATTTTCCAAAGTGGTTTCTAATTTCTGTTTGTTATTATTCTCTACTATGTGGTCCTTAGGGAAAGATTCCGCCCCCAAAATTGGTACGGGTTAGACACTCCAGACACTGTCCTGAACAAGGAAGAAACAGGACCAGCTTTTCTTTCTCCATCCTACATTGACCCAACTATGACCACAACCTTGATATCCTTATTGACACAATACCTATAGTGCTCAATTTTCACATATACTATCTTATTGTAGTTCCTTACAGCTCTATGAGGTCGCTGCAACAGAAAGCAACCCCACAACAGCAAACCCAAATCAAGGATGACTGGGTTGGCTCACCCGGTGCGTAAGTCAAGGCTTCTCCCTGCTGGTGCCCTCAGAGCGGCTCAGGGTCCATCTGTTTCCAAAGAGGGGAAATGGAACTATGCTCAGAAAACGTGCAGACAGAACATTTTTGTCAATAACGACCGTATAAGTGGATGCATAACCCTACATTGGCCAAGACCTACATATCATTTTTGATCTTCTGCAATTTTAGTATATATCATCATTTTTGCAAATATTTTCAGGATTAAAATTCTCCACTCCCCCGTGTCATGGAAGTTTACTCAGTTCTGAGATTCCTCGTGGCTCCATCTTTACGACGTTAAGTTTCATTTACGTTAGAACTCCACCAGGCTTTCCCATCTCCAGAAAATAGTCGCAAATACTGCCATGGACTGTAAGGTGACCTCAGGTTCCTCTTTGCTGCTGTGGAATAAGCAAAGTACATACTCTCGAAAGAAAAAGATGTTGTTATTCGTAATACAAAAGATTATCTGCTAATTTTGTCTCTGCCCTGGCACTCCAGATTTTCAAAATACTAACTTTAAACTAGACTGTAGGACTGAGACTGGAGTGTGTCCAGGTCAACCAAACCGTGACAACATGTAATAGGGGTTACCAGGAATCTTCTTCCGGGGCAAAAAGGAGAGTGAGCCCTGAGCTCACTTTTGGAGCTCAGCAAAAATTGGAGAAAAAAAAAAAAAAAAAAAAAAAAAAAAAAAAAAAAAAGCCCAGATCCCAAGTACAGAAAGACTGTAGCAAGGGAGTAGATAGATAATGGCAACCACGTTAAACAGGCTGAACAGGCCGTGGAATGGGGCTTCAGTCAGCAGAGTGAAATCAAATCAAATTGGCTCCCATAGGAAGACTGTCTGCCAAGTTCCCAGGAACAGACGCCACCGGGGAGCTCCAGCATGAGCCGAGCAGAGGAAGTGCTGACAGGCCGGTGAGGTCTGGGCCGGCAGGCAGACACTGTCCTAATACACAGAGCATGTGCTCTGGCTGCTCAGGGCTGTCATTTGGATAAGGATCTAAAAGCAATTTGCATATACCGGAGTCTTAGAAGATGTTTTCCCGCAAACATCTGGGTCTACAGACAAAGTCCTAAAATGAACGCCACAGCATTTCCATGAACTTATACAGATACACCACCGCATCTTCTCATCAGCTGTGAAGGCTAGTTGCTTCCCGAGTCGCCTGAGCCCCAGGCAAGCTGACTCTTCCATCTATTTTACAGCGGTAACAAGATTACCTTGCTTGCTTTTATTCTGGTGCTCTGCCATTGCTTTGTGGATGGCTTGCCCCATTGACTCACAGAGCACCAGCCCCATTTGAAGGGGCTGAAGGAAAGTGCGGGATATAGAAGTGAGCAAATAGTCCCATCCTTAGCACTTATGACTGGCGGTGGGAGAGAGATCCAGCAATGTGAGCGAAATGCCGAGTGTGCAAAGTGCCGTGGAAAATACGGTGGCTGTGAGGAAGGAGAACCCTCAACGATAAGGAGGCCAGAAGTAAAAAAAAAAAAAAAAAAAAAAAAAAAAAAAAAAANAAAAAAAAAAAAAAAAAAAAAAAAAAAAAAAAAAATTGAAAACGGTCTCACTGATGCATATTCCTAGGCCGGAAAATACTTGAAGTGAGGACTCCATTCTTCATTCTGATCAGCTCGCAGAATGAACTCAGGATGAATTATCTGAAAGTGAGTGCGGTGTATTACACAAGATTAATCAAAATGTCTTACTCGGATCTTAGTTTTCCATTAGGGGAGCAGGGAGCGGGCGGCGTCGTTTCAAGGAAGATCATACAATCTGAGCCTGGCACTTTGAGGCTCTAGCCTCTATTCTCTGTAAGGTATTGCGTTACTTTTTACAAAAGTAAGTATTTTGTTTGTTGGTTTGTTTTAACGGACCCCAAAACACCTGAGAAATGAGGCAAATGATATGAAAGGGGAAAAAATTAACTTAGAAAGGGGAAAGGTTTCCATCAGTACTACTTCTCGTGAGAACACGAAGCCCTTAAAGGAGACAGGGAATGAGAAAGAAGCAATTTGTCCACTGAGAGACGAGAGAAAATCAGAAGAGAGGGCACAAGGGGTCAGAATATAAGGAATGGGTGGCGACTAGAGAAGAAAAAGTCGTTTCCTTGGCTGGCCCCCAAACATCGAAAAGACTGACAGCCTGTGGCGAAACACAGACTGCAAACCAGAGCCAGGAGCCGGGTCAACCAGAGAATGTGGAGCCAAAAAGTCCAAGGGCGAAGAGGCTCTGTTACCCCAAGCTACACGGGAAGATTCTTAGAGCCAAGAACAATGCTGAGAAGACAAAGCTAGCAGACGCTCTGCTCTAGGAATGTTCTGCTCTGGTTTCCTAATTGTTCTTAGTAGATTTGCAATCAGAAAGAAAATATAATTAAACATACATGTTGTTCATTTATATACAGTATATAGTGTGTGGTGTCAGAAGTAAACAAGAAAACTACAACGAAGAATTTAAATGAAGTCATTGTCCCAAGGTCATGGTCCAGTGCTCATGTCTCTCTGTTAGAAACTACATATAGGAGAACTGTATTCATAGAGAACATCAGCAGTTGCTAGGGGAGTTCTTGTACTATGGAAGATGATGCAGAAGCAATGTCACAGGAGGAGAATTAAAACCAGTGGCAGGACCAGGGCAAAGAGGGTTTTTACTCCAACATCAGTGTCCTGAGTAGACTGGGTTAGTGGATGACAAGGAATCATATTTTTAAATCAGCAATTTTAAAAACTGAGAACAAGGCTAAGTATAAACAGACAAAAGAAGGTCTAACCTTCAATAATAGAAGAACCTAGGAGTCTACCTCCTTGGAGCTCTCTCAGGCCATAGAGCAGCTACCCTTATGTACATATGTAGAATCCAAGGCTCAGCAGAAGTTGGCAGAATGCAATTTCAAAACCATTGACTTTAAATCATACCCATACACTGGGGTCATACAGAATGGCTTATTATACCTCACATCTGCATGTGTTGATTAAATAATACCATCCCCTATTTAAAGCATTGCTTGGAGAACACGCTGAAATGAAATCTCATGACTAGGTTATCTGAATGTCTGTGAGTAGCTCTGGGAAAGTGAAGCAAGCTGGAGACCCAAAGCCAATCGAAAGCTAGAAGAATCGTCTGCCTAGGGACACACCGCTCACCTGCTTTTGGTCTTGACCTCTCCAACAACCTACATGAACAGCTGAGACCACAACATGAGCCGCCACCCCTGACCTGTTGTGTTTTCAACTTTTCTCATTGATTTTTGGCTCTGTCACCTTGATATGGACACAGAGCCCTCTTAACAGGAAAGCTCTGGATGACACCTACACACACGGTTTCTGTGGACTGTGGTGTAGACAGCCCACTAACACGTCATCCAGAATCTACTGAGTGTGCTAGGAACAATGAAGAGCAAAGATGGTAAATGACTTACAGGGGCCTCCGAATAAGCCAGGGTTTCTGTGATAATTCAATACTAATGCATAATGGAAGGGAAGTCGTATTTGTTTGCCCATCTTATTAGACTTTTTATGGGTTAAGGAAGATAGGACGTGCAGACTACATCAATGCTTTCTGAGAAGACGTATCAGGGTGGGGAAAGGGTCTATAATGGTTCTTTTATTTTCCCTCTGTGTACTTCAGGCTGATATCACACCGGAAGTTCTTGCACCAACCTCCTGAGTGTTGAGGTTATAGGTTTGCTCACCGTACCCAGCTCTACTGAGTAGAACCTTATAGATTAGTTCCTAGAACAAATGAACATGTTCTCTCCGTGTACTTAACCCATTTGAACATGTGAATAATGAGACAGACATCATAAGTTTAAGGCTAGCCTGGCCCTCAAAGCAAGACCCTGTCTCGAAAGCACAAACTATGATTAATTAAATGTACGAATGAGATCTGGTTGAGAAGCTGGCTGGGGCTGCGGCTGCTTTCTTGCTGCTGTGGTTGAGAGCCTAATTCAGTGTTCCTCTCTGTCTCAAGCTGGAAGCCCTCCTCTCTTACCGCTGATGCTGAGACCCTGAACAAAGAACAGGCAAGCCAGAGTTCTGTGAGTGTCTGAGGAACTGGAAACTCAGTACTATGGGCTGGGGGGATAGGGGGGAGTCTAGTCTCCCTCCATTCCTAACGAAATCCCTCACAGGGAAATCCCCTTTCCATTAAATTAAAACCAGAAGTGGTAGAGCTTACATTTTAAAACATCAAACCATTGTCTTCGGTTTCTGTGAAACAGGATAGCACTTTCAAACGCTCCGGGAACTTCACCAGCTGGTTCAGCTCCTTCGGAGCTCAGTGGTTTTGCGGCATTGGCTGGCTCCCATCCCAGCACGGAAAATGACAAAAGCCGGTTTTGGAGGTGGGTTGCCACGATGATGTATGGCCTCTGGAGAGCTGCAGGGAGAGGAACAGAAAGGGGCCTGTGGGATTCCCCAAGCACGCTGGGTTGGGAGTGAGGACCTGGAGCTTTTTAAATTTCTTTTTACAAAGACGTGGCTAGGAGGAGGGGTTGTCTGGTTCTCGGGGAAATGGAGTGTCAGGCCTGCTGGAGACTTACTTCAAGGGCTCCCTGGGCAGCTCTGTGAAGGAAGGAAAATCGCCACTTGGACCAGACAAATTGTTGCTGCTCTCCTTACTTGTGGCTTCTGGTGGGACCTTTGAAGAAATCTCTGGAAGTGACAGAAGGAAATATATCACATCTTTCCTTCTCCAGAGTAAGGAAATAGTTGATCTCTTGTTTAAACATACTCTCAAGCCTCCCTTGCCCTCCTCCCATCCCCGCCACCCCCTCCCATCACCCACAAAAAGGGTAAAATAAATTTAGCCTTTGTTGTTAGTCTTCCTCCTATGTCTGCCTGCTGTCTTGAACCTTTGTGGCTGTCTAGACTTTGAAGTCTTGTTCTCCATGGATTTCTCCTGAACTGTATGTTCAGAACTTCCACACAAGGTCACCCAGAGACAAGAAAGTAGGAGAAAGGGTTGATTCGAGTTGTCTCATCTCCTGAGTACTGTATCAATTAGAGCCTTCCGGTAGATCACCTTTGTGGTCAAACCCCACAAAGCCTGCACAGAGAAAGCATCGATGGGGGTGGGACAAGGAAAAGTCATCAAAACTATATTGGAACAAAAGAATGATCTAGAACTTGGCAAAATCCACTCCCCTCTAAGACTCCTTTTATGACCAGGCTCCTTCTTTCAGCATATCCTTAGGAGTCCAGTTTTACAAGAACCCTGCTTAGTAAGGGGGTACAGGGTGGGGGTGTCCTGCACAGTTCATTTCCCATCACCCTCTTGTCTGCCACCACCAGTATCTGATCACCCTGGCATGTCGTTGACAAAAAAAAAAAAAAAACCATAAGCCAGAACCCCCTCCCCATTCCTGATAATAATTTCCCATCAACTAAGCCCACCTTACTCCTTGACTATGACTTCCCTCTTGCACAGGCTGAAAATTGAGAGCAGCTAAGAGAGATCTCTTTATCCGTTTCCATATTGGCTGCTTTACTGTCCAGACATGGTTTTCCTTTCCCAAGCCTATGCCTTCTCCGTAGGATTTGAGCCTAGGACTACTCGATAAATGGGCAAGACCATTTGTGTCTTCACAGAATGGAAGGACTCTTGTCAAGAATGGATGGATTCCAGAGATTCGGCGCAGAACAGGTCTTGTGAACTGAGACAGCGCAGTAAATTTGGTTAGCTAGTAAGAAGCAATCACAAGATCCCAGACACTGAATTAAATGAAATGCTGTGAGATTCAGGTCCATGGCAAGGACCCTCAGAGCCAGGAGCCTCCCCAGCTCTAATGTTCCTCCAAGTTCTCTGATAGAACCCTTCATGTTGTTACACTATTCTCCGTATCTACACCTTAAATGCGGTGCCAAGATCCTGGGATCTTCTTCCAGAGGGAACTGATGTTCCCAAATGCTCACTCCTCCCTCCCCCATACTAATGTTTTCCAGACAGACAAGTGATGAGCAACATTTGCTGACCAAGTTCAGAAGAGACAAAAGCAAAGGGAATAAGCTCAATTCAAAAAAAAAAAAACCCTCAAGAAATAGGAAAATTTGATGAAAGACATTGTTAGTAAGTCATTTCTCACTGTAAGAAACCCAAGCTGTTTATGTTCATAGAAGCATTATTTGTAATAGCCAGAACCTGGATACAAACTAGATGACCCTCAACTGAAGACTGGATAAAGAAAATGTGGTACATTCACACAATGGAGTATTACTCAGCTGTAAAAAATAATGACATCTTAAAATTAGCTGGCAAATCGATGGATCTAGAAAAAACCATAGAGTGAGGTGATCAGACCCAGAAAGACAAATATAATATGTACTCACTCACAAGTGGCTTTTAGACATAAAGCAAAGAAAGACCAGCCCACAGTCCACAACCCCAGAGAAGCTGGACAATAAAGAGGACCCTAGGAGAGACATACGTGAATCTGCATAGGAAGTAGAAAAAGACAAGATCTCCTGAGTAAATTGAGAGTGTGGCAGGTCACGGGAAAGGATAGAAGGGGAGAGGAGAGGAAGAAATGGGAGTGGAGAAAAATGTATAGCTCAATAAAAATAATAAAAAATTGTTTTATTAAAATCTATATCACCTTTAACTATTTTTACAATACTGTCAAACCCTAAACTTTTTAGCATGTGCAGTCTTCAAACTCAAAAAAAAAAGATCATATTTATGGTTAATGGGGAACACACTTGAGAAAATAATTTCTAAAATAGGACATCAGGCACACCCAAATGGCATTTAGAATACTGCTAGTAAACCACTGAGAGCCTGGTGCCTGGCAGGCAGTGTTTACGTCCCTTAAACAAGTTAGCTCATTTAATCCTCACCACAGCTTACCTGATAGGTCTTAATAATCACTATATTTCACAGACAAGGGATGTGAGTCCAGAGAGACACATAAGTAGCTGGAAATTTCACAGCCAGGGTTCTGCCCGGGCAGGTGAGCCGACTGCTCCCTACCATTCCTATTGTATTACACCGAAATCCAAAGAAGCCTGCAAATAGGAACTAAAACACAGACGGGAATCCCTGCAGGGGCAAGTACACAAGTCTGGGTGGAGGGTTAAAAAGATGTGGCGAGATCAAAGGTTCTCATTTTGTAAAAACAAAGAAGACTCCGAAAAAAAAAAATATTTGGTGTTTGTGAATCTAGCATGAAATCCCAGGAAGCACATGTCTAAACAGACAGTTTATGCATGAAAATGAAGTCCTAAGTGCTGGGTGCCAGCTCATACTCATTAAGAATAAACCTTACCTTCTGATAGCAAATAGGAGAAAATAAAGAGACAGAGAGAGCTGAGTTTGGTATACCTACATGGTTTGTTTTATTTTGGGGTGTGTGTGTGTGTGTGTGTGTTGGAGCGCACATATATGAGCATCATATAGAGGCCAGAAGACAACTCTGTAAAGCATCGGATATGAAGCTGTCCCTTTATTATCTTTCAGGTAAAGTCTGAGCTCCCTGGTGACCTTCAATGGGTCCGCTCTCTGAAGTTTTATGCCGTGATCAACTTCACTCCTATCGCTGGTTTCTGCGCCTTCTACTTCCCATGCATCCCAAACACTCTGCACTGCCCATGGATTCAACGTCAGTTCCGCCAGTAGGGGAGTAAGCCTGGAGAATGGGTGCGGATCATATAAAATGTCTTTTTTTTTTTTACAGTTGATGTTTTGCCTGCATGTATGTCTGTATGAGGGTGTCAGATCCCCTGAAACTGGAGCTACTGATAGCTATGTGGGTCCTGGGAATTGAACCTGGGTCCTTTAGAAGAGCAGTCAGTATTCTTAACCACTGAGCCATCTCTCCAGCCCCCAACTTAAATTGTCTTAAACCATTGACTGTAGCAGTTACCCTCCCTCCTGTGTGGTGACCCAAATGCACCATCCATTCCCCTGCTGTACGGAGAGCAGCTGACGAAGTCTCCGGCTACTACTGTCCTTCCAAATCCATTGACCCCTTCACGCACAGGCCACGGTCCTAGAGACCTGCTTTGAGACCACAACAGAAAGGAATTTAGCTTCTGGTCTAAGAGGTGGAGTATTGTCTAATGAGCAATTTTGCCTTAAGGTCTCACCATCAGCCTTCTCAAAACTTAGAATGCAATATGAAATTCTTCATACCCTCTTCTCCTTTGGACCCTTATCCTTCCTGGGTGGAGGAGCTGTATTATGGGTGAGGCTCCCTCTGCCTCCTGCCTGCTCCTCCTGCCAATTCTTTATGTATATACCTGCAGCTTGATATGTGCCTCTTGACAGATATCTACACCATCTCCACATGTCCCATAGTTTCGCTTCCTCTCTATTTCCTCCAGTGTCTTCTAATCAGTCTTTCCCATCATGTTGACATTTTGCCTTAGATTCTAGAGCTTAGGAACTATTGAAAAGGTGTCATTCATTGAAAACCGTGCTTGGAAGGAACTGTTCTCCGGATGGGGTTTGGAAGAGCATGCCTTGTCTCACCCCGATGCTCTTCTTTTCTGCAGAAAATCTGCAGCCCATTTATCCTCCTGGGGCTAGTCCAGCAACACGTCCTCTGTGAAACCTTCTTGAGCTACTGAAGAACTGGAACTAACATTGAGACTTCATGGCTCCTACTATATCTTTCTTTTTGTTTATTTGTTTTCTTTTTATTGAATATATAATATTCTGATCATGGTTTCCCCTCTCCCATGTCCTCCCAGGTCATCCCCACCTCTCTATTTGTCCAATTCCATGCCTTCTTTCATTCTTAATATTAAGTCTTAACCTATGACTTGACACACAGTGAGTTCTCAGACCTGTTAAGTAGAACACACTGTTTTTTTAATCCTACAAAGAATAAGGCTGAGTGCTCAGTTATTTGAAGCACCCCTGTTAATTCTATCAGGTAGTGTTTCAAAAGCACTACGTAATGAATTCTAAACGATATGAAGGAAATTTAGCAGTTGGGGCGGGGGTTGTGGAAAGCCTTTCTTAAACAAAAATATAGCAGATTACTTCCGCTGTCCCCGACATGAAAGCACCGTGCTTTATTACATAAGTCATGACAGCTCCGTGGATCTGTCTACCCACCAATCCTTCAGGGCCAGTATCATGGGTTTTAGAACAACACGCAAGTAACAAAGGTCTTTTTTAAAAGGATATTTGCAGCAATGGCCCAAAGGGGTAATTTCTGTTTACTGAACAGTCTTTAAAAAGAAGAACAGTGGCTTAAAAGTATCATCTTGTCCTCTATACTCCCCGTTCACAGCACTAATCATAAAACACAAATTCCATTTTTAGGGCACTTCTATACAGAGAGAGAGAGAGAGAGCGTTTAAAACTTTCTGCATAAGGGAAAACATATTCTTTTTTTTTTTTTCGAGACAGGGTTTCTCCGTAGCTTTTGGTTCTTGTCCTGGAACTAGCAGGCCTCGAACTCACAGAGATCCGCCTGCCTCTGCCTCCCGAGTGCTGGGATTAAAGGTGTGTGCCGCCACCACCCAGCGGAAAACATATTCTAAAGCCAAAATATAGGTAGGCAACAAAGAGAGAGAAATGGGACAACCAAACTGAACGTGGGCAGACACTAGCATATAAAAGATTAGGGATCACTGGTGTTTAAACATAAAAACCTGGTTGGCCTCACTCATAGTAACAGAAATACAGGCTGGAACAACTAGAGCTA